GCGTAGCGTTCCAAGACTCCCTGAAGACGAAAAAAGGCAAAATACTTGGGCAGAATATATATTCAGCGCAGAGAAGGTGTCTAGACTATTGGCATGGCCCGAAAGGCCGGCCCACCTAGAGAGGTACAAGGGGGCTAATTCAAAGTACAAAAGTGGCGCCTCACCAATGCCGAGGGATAAACTACTATCGTATTACATATAAAATGGATCAGCAAAAAATGCATTCAACCTATGTGTAATACGATGGCGGTTTATCCTTCGGTATAGGTAAGGCACCACTTTTTTGTACTTTGAATTAGCCTTCTTGCTTCTCGCTGGGTGGGCTGGCCTTTGGGCCACGCCAGTACCCCGAACGCCTTCTCTCTGCTGAACACATATATTCTGCCCGAGTATTGCGTCTTCTTTTGTCTTCACGGAGTCTCAGAACGCTACATATATCCAAAATCTGCTCATCATTTCCACTGAAATCACCACAGCAAGACTTTTTAATGATGTGTCTATCAGTTTTGAACCAAAGAGGGATAAAGACGACTTACACCTTGTCAGTATTGAAAAGACAGTAACAACGCAGTACCGGAAGGAACCCATCGAGCGTCGAAACAGCAACAAATACAATTTAGCGTGCAAGCGACTTTCTTTCCCCTTATTTGCCTAATGGGAGTGTAAATGGGCGCATCAGAGAGGGGGCACCGCGCAGAGCCGCATTTGCAGCTGATGTTCTATAGAGCGGTGGAGAAGTAGTTCAATTGCCTATCCCTGGTGCACAAGATTGTGGTAGGTCAACAGTTTAAGGGAGGTGGCCATAAGGTAAGTTAGCCAAACGCATATGCCAGGAGTAATCAAAACTACCCGTAGAAAATGGGACCTTATTCCTGTTTTATTAATGCACACACTTCTCTACGATTAGCATGAGTAATTTGGCCTCATGGGAGAAAAAAAGACGCTAGGCGCCCCAAACAAAGGGCACTCGTAGACTCATGTACAAATTAGTCAAGCTGCACCTGTCCTCTGCAGCATCTGCTTGGCCTGCAGATTCCAAGCACCTTACCTTACAGCACCAGTGCCCCATTTCAAACTATGCCCTTAGGTTTCTAAAAAAAGACAGTAGGCACTGAAGTAGTGGGTCCATAAACAAATGCAGATAGAAGAAAGCCACAAATCCTTGTAATTTTAGAGTAATACAAGGTACGCAAGACAGTATAACAGTCATCTCCTCCTTGTCAACCTGTGGACTTGGCAACACGAGGTTCCGCAAATTGTGTATTGCGAGTGCGCATATTAAACACACACAACAGCCGGTCATTCGCAGGGTATTGGAGAATAGTAGGAGCAAATTGTTCCTCAATCAGACTGCTCAAGGCTTTTGCTAGGGCCCTCAAACCACAGTACTGGGATTTAGGCCTATGTCGATGATCCTCTGCATTTAGGGCTACGGTTCATGCACTGGCCATGATGTCGCCGTTTAAAAAGATCACTGGTACTAAGGCGCTAGGACAACACGATGTTTACTCGCCCGGAACAAGAGTAGCATGCACCACAGAAGCCAAAAAAATGAGGTGGCTTTTACCTCACTAAAAGTTTAATATTTAAAATATCATTCCATGGTCTACTATGTAAGACGGCCGCCAGTAGGCCGTGATCCAGGTTCAATATGGGAAACCGGTCAGTCAGGGAAACACAT